GGGGGGTGGGGGGGCGGCGCGCGTGGAGAAGAGGCAGGAGGAGGACGAGGAGGGAAGGGGTCGGGGGGGGGCGACGGTGAGGAGGAGGTGGGAAAGGGGGAGGAGGATGGGGGGGGGGGAGGAGGAGGAGGAGGAGAAGGAGGGGGAGGGGGGAAAATAGAAGAAGGAAGGAAAGAGGGCCGAGGGTGTTTGCCATGGCCGGGAGGAAAGGGATAAGGGCAAGCTAAACGTATTATCGTGCGGGGTCTGTCCGTAGGAGTAATTGGGCACAATGGGATTTGAGTCTCGAGGCGAATAGTTGAGGTGAGATGTCTTGTCCGCGTGCGAGACTCCCTGAGCTTGCGTGTTTCATCGGAGGTGTGCTGTCCATGGGAGGGGCCGTGCCGTTTTGGCTCAAGACCCAATGCCCATATTCTCCCCTCATATTCCATAGATTCTCCGGACGAAAAAAGAATAATAGACTCTCCCCCCTCCACCCCCGGCGTTATCGCCCTCCCTGTCGGGCATGTAAATCACACATGGTTCTGACCACATGTCCATCCTAAATATGAAATCGCAATGTCCCAGGCCAGCCGGTATCCCCCCTTTGAGGTTCCCTGGTTTAAAAAAATCTATGCGGTGACATTTGTTGTTCTATCACATCATTTTTCACGAATCCTTTTGCAACAAATGGGGCGAAGTGCGCGCGCGCGTCGTCGCGCGCGCATGCCGAAATCCTTCAAAAACCCTCGGTGCCGGAAGGATTTCGTAATCGATTATATATATATAAACCACAAAAATAACACATGGTTTCGCAACGTTGATATGCTAAACTACATCCGCGCGAACACTTGCGAAATCTTAAGTAAATAATTGGTTTTTCAAGATTTTCACAATCTGCTACCAAACGGGCGTCGCGCGCGCATGTCGAAATCTGTCGAACGCCCTTGCGCGTGTGCCGTCGCGAGAATCCTCCGCAACAAATGTGACGAAGTGCAGACGTGCGCGTCGTCGCGCGCGTACGCCGAAATCCTTCCAAACCCATCGGGAAGGATTTCAAAATCGCGCGTCCAAGAAACATACGCAAACAGAAGGCTTCGCAACACGGATTTTCAACAACAGCGTGCGCGCGCGCTCTTGCGGCGTCGTCGTCGTCGTCGTCGCCGTCCTCCCTCCTCCCGCGTCGTCGTCGTCGTCGCCTACGTCGTCCTGAGTCATTCCTCGTGTTCGTCGTCGTCGTCTTCTTTGGCGTCGTGGTCGTTTCCGTCGTCGTTGTCGCCGTGGTCGTCGTTCCTCCTCCTCCTCCCTCGTCGTCGCCGTTCGTTCGTCGTCGGCGTCTCGTCGTCGTCCCTCCTATTTCGTCGCTGTCGTCGTCGTCGTTGTCGTCGTCGTCTCGTCGTCGTCTTCCCTCCTCCCTCGTCATTGTCGTCGTCGGTGTCGCCGTCCTTCCTCCTCCTTCGTCGTTCGCGTCGTCGCCGTCCTCCCTCCTCCCTCGTTGTCGTCGTTGTCGTCGTTGTCGTCGTTGTCGTCGTTGTCGTCGTTGTCGCCGTCGTCGTCCTCCCTCCTCCCTCATCGTCGTGTTCGTTGGCGACGTCGTCGTCGTCTTCGTCGTCGTCGTCGGCGTCGTCGTCTTCGTCGTCGTCGACGTCGGCGTCGTCGTCGTCGCCGCCGTCGTCGTCGTCGTCGTCGTCGTCGTCGTCGGCCGTCTTGCTTCTCTGGCCTTCTTGGGGCGCTCTTGACGCGCCCCCGAGGGCTCCAAGACGACCCCGGAGCGATATCTGTGCTCGGTCCCGCATGGGTTTTGCAAACCAAGTTGCGGGTGGGTGGGTGGGATGATTGCGCGAGCAGTGGAGTTGACAATTTCAAGTTCGGCAAGTAAACATCCACCGTTAGTATCTCCCCTCGCGCCCTTTTGCAGAGTGGCACGGTCAGCGAGCCAATGTGTGTACTGATTGCCTTCGGCAGCTGGGGCAGGTGAAGTGGGTCCCAGACATCTTCATCCTCATCGATGTCGTCTGTCGGGCGACAGAACGACCCATGGCTCGCCGATGCGCCTTCAGGTGCTGATGGCAATGACATCGACAACGTTCAGCCACGACCTGCCTGTGTTGCCGCACGAAGGTACCTAAACGCCCCGACGTGCCAGTGTGCGACGGCGCAGGCCGGACAACATCGGCGATCAGCCTCGCAGGATGACAACAAACATGGGGGCGGGGCATGTGCGGGAGACGATGGCCCGAATGCGATCGGGGCTTTCATCACCGCGGATTTTTTTGGGGAGCGAGCACGATGCGTCGCGACATGGAAACACAGCGAGTCTCGTTGTCTACGGTCGGGGAGTAAGAAATGCGGATGAAACGCTGCGGGCTTTTCAAGAGCTTCGTAGTTCCTAATGATAGCGTTAACTTGTCGAGTTCGACAACTTTAGGGAAATCGGGGATGTGTACAAGCTGTTGAAGCTGCGCCATGATACTTCGACTCCCCACCGTCCTCAGAGCAATGCTGTTGTTGAGCGTGCTGTTCGTTTCGACGAGTTGCTGAGGGCACTGGAGCTGTGCTTGTGCAGAGCGGGTTCTCCCATGCGTGGTGGCGGGAAGCCTGTTCGCGTGCTGGGGAGGCCCCAGGAGGTCTTTGGAGGCATTCGTATTTGGAATCTGTGTTCAGGGGGCGTTTTTCGGTTATCTCGCCCCCAAGACGCCCCAGGAGGCCCCAGGAGACGCTGTTATGGATTGTGATATGTGTTCGGGGAGTGCTGTCCGGCTCCCGTAGGCTTCGCCCCCACTGTTCCTATATATTGCCCTTCTCGTGTGGTTCGATTTCGCGGATGGTTTACGTATGTTCCAACGTATTGCCCGTCTATTGTTTTTTTGAGTGTTTGACGTATGGTCCTACGCATTGCCTGTCTCTTGGGTCTCGAATCTTTAGTGTTTCGAACCCCTACCGCTTCCCAGGAGTCGTACGCATTATTTGTGTGTCGTGCGAGCCGAAAATGGGCAGGTGCCTCGAGAAATGTGTTGGCTCGACCTTCTCGCGCGGGATATCTGGATGTGTGAATATCGCCCCCTTGTCATATAGTTCGCCCCCAAGCGGGTGTAGCATCATGATGGATGCATGTGGCATGTAGATGCATGGCGCGTGGGGGTAAGGTGTTTGTTGTTGTCGGCGGCGAGCGAGAGGCGGACAGTGAAAAGGGCGAGGCCTTTGCAGATGGCGGCGGGGCTTCCTAGAAACCTCCGCGCCTTCTGAGATGTGTTTTATGTCTTACGTCTTGGGGGAAGGCTTTGATTTTTTACTTTACCTTGTCTCGCCGCCGAGTATAGCTTGCACCACATAGCTTACATCACCTGGCTTGCACCACGCAGGTTGCACCGCATGTTCATATGGCAGCGTAACCCGTTGAACTTGCACGGCATTGCTTTTACCTCGTAACGAGCACCATGTAGTTTACACCGCATAGCTTGCGCCACACAGCTTGCACCACATAGCTTACCTCACCAAACTTGCAGGCACCACATACCTGCACTGCACAGCTTCCACCGCATAGCTAGCACGAAATAGCTTGCTCTACAGCGTGACTCCAGGTTGTTGCAGATTCTCGGCAGTGATGGACATGGAGAGCCCGACGAGACGTGAAGACTCTCTTCAGTCAGTACTTATCCGTAAGGGCTTCGCCCCCTGCCGCCGGCCCCCTCTCTCGGAGAATGGGCCATGGAAGAGCTAAGTCATGAGGCCTTGGCGCTGTCGTGAAGCAGTATCGAAACTTCATGCGAAGCCGAGTCGCAATCAGCAAAACCAACTGATCACAAGAGGGGTTACCACACCTGGCGATTGGTAAGACGTGTATGGTTTAAGGGCTTGGTTACCACACCTTGCGATTAAAGGGCCGAGGGAGTTCTCGCAGTTTGGGTTACCACGCCTTGCGATGGATGTGCGTGATGGGTTCGAATTTCAGAAATGTGGCAAATCCCCTGTGTTTTTGGACCCTGACCCCGCGGATCTGCGTAAGGGGTGGCACCGAATTTCAGAAATGTGGCAAATCCCCTGTGTTTTTGGACCCTGACCCCGCGGATCTGCGTGAGGGGTGGCACCGAATTTCAGAAATGTGGCAAATCCCTTGTGTTTTTGGACCCTGACCCCGCGGATCTGCGTGAGGGGTGGCACCGAATTTCAGAAATGTGGCAAATCCCATGTGTTTTTGGACCCTGACCCCGCGGATCTGCGTGAGGGGTGGCACCGAATTTCAGAAATGTGGCAAATCCCGTGTGTTTTTGGACCCTGACCCCGCGGATCTGCGTGAGGGGTGGCACCGAATTTCAGAAATGTGGCAAATCCCCTGTGTTTTTGGACCCTGACCCCGCGGATCTGCGTGAGGGGTGGCACCGAATTTCAGAAATGTGGCAAATCCCCTGTGTTTTTTGACCCTGACCCCGCGGATCTGCGTGAGGGGTGTCGATTTCGAGCCCCCCCAGCAATTCAGACAACGCGCCCAGGGGACGCTGGAAAGTCTTGTTTGGGCCTCCCCCCCCCTCGCGCGGTCAATCAACTAGTTACAGTAACCAGCAATCAGTCAACTAGTTACAGTAACCAGCAAGAAGCAGAACTGTAACACTGGAAACTACAAACTACAACTGGTACAGGAAACTGCGAATCACGCGCCTCGCAGCCTGGTGGCCCCACAAGGGGGCCGGCGGACCTCAACATCCGATGTCGTGATTTTCAGTACGGGGTCCCCGGAGCCCCCGACCCTTTCCCCAGGGCCTTGTCGCCATTTCGCCATTCTTCCTATCTTGGGGGCAACGCTAGAGGGGGGATAGGCTCAGGGGAGATGCGTCGACCCCAATCGCCTAATCGCCCGTTCATCGCCGATGAGACGATTGGGGTCGATGCATCGCGATAGCGAATCTGCTCAAGAACGTCCCGATTCGCTATCGGGGGCATATCGCTGACCTATCGGCGATGCATAGCGGCTTCCAGGGCGATGCTTCTTCTCCCCGAGCGGGTCCTTTGGCTGCTTGCGGGTCATGCATCGAGCCTCCGGCGGCCGTTTGGGACGATTTGGGCAGCCCCAGGACGCCCTCGGCCAGGCGCAGCCGTTGGAAGGCACCCCGAGGCTGGAAAGAAGGCCGCCGAGAACCGACGAAGATCGGCACCGCCCAAACAAACCATCAACAGTATGTGTGCGTCGGCCACGCGAGGGCGACGCGCAGGCTCGGAAATCCGATGGCAGAAGCTCCCTGGCGGGCGCCTCCTGGCCGTATCGCTCGGGTCGGACGCACGCCTTCAAGGAGGACACACAGTGCCAGCGTGTCCCTGTGCGTCTCAGCAAACGCCCGAAAGCACCGAACCTCGAAACTTCGAGCCGGTCCCCTCCTGGCGTGGCCCCTCGATTCGAGCAGGCGTGCCGCGGCGACGAGCAGCTGGTGCTGGAGGCGATGCAGCGGGACCGGGAGGCTCATGTGTGGTTCCAAACGGGACGCCAGGGAAAGGCACTTTTGAGACAGGCGATGCCCTTTCGCTGGCGTTCCTTCAGGGAGCACATCAGAGGCGCTGCGCTTCGCCTCCGGGCCGCTGCTCGGCGACCGCGCCTTCGCGCTGCGCGCCGTGGGGCTGTGGGGGCTAGCCCTGGAGTCGAAGCGGCGGGGGTCGCCGGAGGGGCTCTCGAGGCACCCAGGTCTCCGGGGAGACATGTTTTTCAGTCCGGGTGTCTTTTTCCAGTGTGTCGGCCTCCCAGAGCTTCGAAGATCTGATTTAGTCAATGCGGGCGATCGTCCTCGATTTCGGCCTCCAGGGCCCATGCCTCAGGAACATAAGAGGATCGGGGACACAAAACTATCCATGGGGAAGGGGTCGGGAGATCTGGGGCCGAAGAATGGAAGAATCATATCGGAGGATGTTTGGGCTCGTGTCGTGAGCAAAACTCGCGACAGACGGATTTGGACTATCTTTTCGGCCTCTGCGGGTCCTCGTCTGGACCCGGGGCCGTCAAGAACAGCGCGGGATTGGAAGCCGGTGACTGGGAAAGAAGCGGCGGGTGCCGTCGGTGGGGCTCGATGTATTTTGCCCTCCCTGCGTCGTGACAACATCGCGACGGAAGGTTCGTGATCGTTTTCGGCCTCAAGGGGCCCTCGCCTGGCTCTGGGGGCCGTCAACAAAAAGGCTCGGGATGGGAAGCCAGTGCCTTGGAACGAAGCGGCGGGGGCCGTCGGTGGGGCTCGATGTACTTCTAGACGGTTCGTGTCACCCCAACAGCCCATCCAGACACGATGCCCAGACGAGTTGCCCTGATCAGGGATGCGGAGGAGCATACAGTGGACTACAGGGCTGGATAAGACGTCATATCCCAAGACGGGGAGGATGGAGGAGGAATCGGTGGAGGAGCAACAGGAGGAGGAGGAGGAGCAACAGGAGGAGGAGGAGGAGGAGGAGGAGGAGGAGGAGGAGGAGGGAGGAGGAGGAGCAGAGAGAGGGAGAGGGGGAGGGGGGAGGAAGGATGAGGAATAGGCGGATGCAGAGGAGGAGGAGGAGGAGGAGGAGGGCGAGCAGAAAAGCCAGAGGCCTCTTGGATGCCTCATGGGGCGCCTTGATGGACAGGGACGGGAGGGAGGGGTCGGATGTCAGATGAGGCGCGAGCGCGCCTGGCTTGTCCTCCCCCCATGTTCCTCCTCCTCTTCTTCCTCCTCCTCCTCGTCCTCCTCCTCTTTCTCCCCCTCCTCCTCCTCATCCTCCTCGTGCTCCTCCTCATCCCCCTAGCCTTCCTTCTGTTTCTCCCTCGCCTCGCCTTCTCATCAGTTATCCCGCTCCAGCGCGTCGTTGTACCGGGGTCCTCGTGCCAGCCCCCCCTGCCCCCCTTCCTTGTCTCAAGTCTTGATGAATTTTCTCAACTCGAGTGGCAGTGATGGAGAAACCCGACGAATCGGGACGCAAACCCGCGCAACCCGGCGCAATCCCAGACAGGTCGAGGCAACTCCAGAGGTATCCAGGTACGTCTGGATAATCGGCGGCGCGCCCAGGGGGGTCTTCTTAGAAGGCTCAGAAGGCCTCTGGTCTTCTGGGAAGCTTTCTGAGCCTTCTTCAAAGCCGCAGAGGGCTTCGCAGAATGCAGGAGGGCTTCAGGGTATCCCCACCGCCTTCCGAGAAGGCCTACCCCCCCAGACATCCGACGACATGACTTTTTCAGTGCGCGACCCCAGAGCTCCCGACCCCTTCCTGGGGAGTAGCTCTTCGGTTCGGATTCGTGGTTCGCTGTCCCATGGCCCGACAGCGGGCCCCCGAGGCCGAAATCGAGCAAACAACGCCGTGAATTTTGAATCCTGGAAGCTTCCCCCTCGGCGCGCCACCGAGATTACTTGTGAACGATCGGGCGCGAGCGCCAGAGATCGGCGGGAGTGCCGTCAGGCCCACGGTTAAGTCGGGCCTGTCTTTCTACAGGGGGATCTTGGACGAACAATTACAAGTAGTCAAGAGATGCAAAGAATGTTCGAGAAATCGTCCCCAGACTATTTTTGGACTGTTTTTGAACAGTTCCGCTGTAGAGGGACAGGTCCGACTTAAGCCCACGGCGATCCCCCCCATGGCCGACTCCTCCCTCAGGAGCACCTGGCCGAGCCCCTCCGGGCCGACCGGGAGGCGGCCGCGCCGCGACGTGTCGCGCCGCGCTGCTGCGCCCAAGCGCTCGTCGTCGTCGTCGTCGTCGTTGTGTTGTCGTCGTCGTCGTCGAACATTTCTCAACATTCGCTAGCCTTTCTTGCTGATGTATGCAAGCGGTTCCGGGCGCCCTCATCTCGACGGCGGCTGCATGTTCTGTCGTGTCGTCGTTGTCGCCGTCTCAGATTCATTGAATGATCGTTTCCAGTGGGTGATGATCGTTCATGTATCGAAGCGGTTCTGGGTGCCCTCGCCTCGACGCCGGCAACATGTTTTCTGAGAGCGACTTTTCCGTTCGAGCTCGGGCTTGCTTCCGAATCCTCGTCTTGGAAGCCCCGATTGCCACGATGAATCTAGATGAGCCGGTGGCGTGCTCCGTTTTCCCCTGCCGGTTTCAATTGCTGTGGCACTGCTGAAGGAATTTACCAGTGATTCGCCTCTGCGTAAGCTTTGAGGCGGGGATTCGTACATAAACACCGCTTGGAGGATCGGCTTTCTCGGACCTCCACAGGCGGTGGATATGTATATGTTCTGGCCGCTGGGAGCCAAGATATGGCCACATCCACGGCCCGCTGGGCCTCCAGGACGTCGGTTGCCAGGTGGTGGATCTGGCCAACAAAAACAATCCCCGCCCTTGCGTAAGCACCCACCATCAAACGGTGGCGTGAAACAGGGCATAATGTCGGGCCGCGGACGCATCATTGCTTGGGTCGACCGTCTCGGCCCGCGTCCCGCTCACCCATGCGGCACCACTGCGCGACGCTCGGCGCCCGCGGTGTCGATGCGTGGGTTCTCGATTTTAGCAGCCATGTGCTCGCTGAGGAGTCTTTCTCTCGCAGCTGGCTTCTCTTGCTCCTTCAGAATCATGATATATTGACATATGTGTTCCTGCATGTCAACGCAATCCGTGCAGAGCCAGCTGACACCACAATGCTCACAGCTAACGGAACACGCTCCGCACGCTGGCCGACAACAAGGACCGTTTTCCTTTCCCGCTTTTCCTGGTCACCGATTTTCCGCCGTCGTCTGGCAGTTGGGTTCCCGGGCTCAGCAATTTACCAGGGTCGAAACCGTGCTAGAAGAGAATTGTCTAGAGCCTAGAAGGGCTACTGGAACCGCGGCTACTTCTCGACCAAGTGGGACCTATCATAGGCGACCCGAGCTTAGTACTTCTCACGGGAATCGGGGACCTCGGAGGAGGGGACACACAGTCAATGTTTGTTCTCCCATATCTTGAACTTGACAGGTTCAACCTACCAAGTCAGGAAGCTCCTCATTTGCCCCATCTATCTCGCGGATCATTGGATAGTAAGACGCCGCTGCATGATTCCCAGCTGGGCCAGAAATCTGCATTGGCGAATCATCTACCTCCATGCTATTTTCGGATTGCCTCTTCGGTCTCTTTGGGAACGGCGTATCCCCGGTAGGGTCCCTCGACTGTTCTATCAATTCGGGCCCCCGAGGGCTCAACGTGTCAATAGGAGATTGAGAGATTTCTATGAGCTCCTCTCCTTGAGTCGACTGGTGTCGAAATGCCTGGGGAATGGTTGAACCAACCCCTGGTATAACCGGTCTGTTCGTTTCGCTCGCTGGGTTGCGCGACTCTGTTTTCAGTGATGAGCTCAACGAACTGATCTCCGACTCGATTAGTGCGGATAGCTCTCGGTCAGTGTCGATCTCTCTCATGTTTGCATCTTCTTTATCAGTTCCGCTAACTACGCTAGAACTGAATAAGTCAGCCTTGCCCGACGCAATGGAACTTTACGGACTTTCATCCGGCATGTGAATCAATGGTATGTCGATCGGCAACATCGATTCTATATTGTGGCGTGTCTGATTTGCCAAGTAAGTATCATGAACTGATGCAGCACTTGTGGATCATGGAGACAGGGAGGAAAACTGACGCTTAAGGACACGGGGGGGGAAAAATGAATTGATGCAGCACTTTCGGCTGATAGCCAGTCATTCGCCAGAGGATCAGAAGATTCTGACATTCTGATTTGTCTATTGTCCTGCTCTACTTTCGTCATCTGATCTGCTATCTCAACGGCTTGGATCTTCATGGACTCGGCAGTTCTATAAACTAAGGAGGGACTATTCCTTAGTGGGATGGTGATGTAAGCGAGCGGAGGGGATCGCGCGCGCTTGTTTTTTTTCCTCTCATTCGCAGCCCAACACAGCTGCGGTACACGCGATGACCAATGTCAATGTTCAGTGGCGGCGGCGGCGGCAGCGGGCGACGACAGGGACGGAGCCATATGAATTCAAATTATTAATTCGGAGAGGCACGCGACATAATGATATAAGCAATGCATAATTCGTATCTTGGGATCGGTTCGCTCGCATCATGAGTGCACTACACATCATAGTGCAAGTCCGATCATCTGCGTTTCTGATGCGAATGCATGCGTTGTGCAATACTCATTGGTTTTGCTGTTGTGGGCTCCACCAATCGTCCCAAACCGACAACCATAAACAGTGGCAGTGGCGTTTGGCACTACCGAGCGAACCTCACGAACATCGGTGTTAAAGCGAGCCTCCATGCATCTCGAATTGTGGGTACCACCAGCAATGACATCACGGTTCAAGCTCGAATTTAGGAATTCGTGTATTTCGTGTTGGAGCCTCTTTGGTGCCATATTGGGTGCTCCAGGAGAACCAACCAAGAGGCTGCCACGTCCCTCTCCCCCCTGCTCGGCGCACGTTTGGGGGAGGCGGGCAACCCAGGGGAGGAAAAAGAGACTCGAGGTGGTGCAAACGCAATCTGGAACACTATCTCCGTATTGCGACGGCCTTACGGCCAGTGCCGCCGACCCTGAAGGGGAACGACGACGACAACAGCGGCGGCGGCGACGACGACGCTGGCGTGGGCCAGAGGGATGCTTCTTGGGATCTCTTCGGAAGACTCTCGGGGGCCTCTGGGGAGGAATTCGGGGGCCTCGTGGGAGCCTCTTGGGGCCCTCTTGGGAGCCTCTTGTGGCCTCTTCGGGCTTCCTGGGGACCTCTTGTGGGCCTCGTGGAGGCATCTTTGGGGCCTCCTGGGAGCCTCTTGGAGCCGAGGGTTCGACATGTCTGTTCGGGTCCCCCGTTTGGGCACGCTCTTAGAGCTGTCTTGGAAGCTTCTTGGGCCGTCTTGGAGGCGTTGTGGGGTGTTTTGGGGGTCCTCTTAGGCTGTTTTGGGGCCCTCTTGGAGGCTTCTTGGGCTGTCTTGGGGCGATGTTCGGTGGACCGTGTTGGAGCCCAAATCATTGGACAACCTCAGGGAAGTCAATGAGTTTTGCCTTGTGGGGCCCTTCTCGGGAGTGCTCTTGGATGCTTTTTGGGACGTCTTGGCGGCTTCCTGGGCAGTCTGGAGGGCGTCAATGCGTTTTGGACCGACAGGTTGGCGATTGGGGGCCCTCTTGGACCGTCTCGGGGGCCTCTCGGGGCACGCTTGGCCTGTCTTGGTGCTTTCTGAGGCCGCGGGACCCACAGGGGGGGGATGCGTATCTGACCCTCCTCCCCCGAGCCGACCGCGTGTTTGTGTGGCCCGTTGGGGGTTTGTGTGGCACGTTGCGTGTTTGTGTGGCCCGTCGCGCGGCCAGATGCATGGTACCGCGGCCCGCGCTGGCCTGTCAATTAGAAGTAACATATGAAGGCTTCTTCTGTCAGTATCGTTTAATCAATCCCCATCCCCATTCCCATCCCCGTCGAGACCCCCACCAAATTACCGCCCCAGTTAGGGATACAGCCCTCGAAACTCTAAGTGAACGGCCCATATCCCAATCTAGGGGGGTAAATCGGCCAGTAGGGCCTAGGCCACGTCGCTGGGGCTGGGGATCGGTTAAACGATATTCATTCTGTTAGATGAAAAACCCTGGTGGGCTTTTATGGGGCTTCATTCCCGCCCAGAAAAAGTGGCCACACACACTCCGATCTTGATGCGTGTGGGGGGCACTTTGGTAGGAGTAGGAAAGGTGATTGCGGCGGCGATGGCAGTGGCAGTGGCAGTGGCCGAAGCAGTCGTAGTAGTGGAAGTAGTGGAAGTAGTAGTAGTAGTAGTAGTAGTAGTAGTAGTAGTAGTAGTAGCAGTAGCAGTAGTAGTAGTAGTAGTAGTAGTAGTAGCAGTAGCAGTAGTAGTAGTAGTAGTAGTAGTAGTAGTAGTAGCAGCAGCAGCAGCAGCAGTAGCAGTAGCAGTAGCAGTAGCAGTAGCAGTAGTGGTGGTAGTGGTAGTGGTAGTGGTAGTGGTAGTGGTAGTGATAATGGCAGTGGT